GGAAAAATTCGGGTAATTGACCGTGTCGTTGCCTAGGGCTAGTAATTTCATAAGATAGCGAGATTTGATACCAGAATTGATTAGACGAGTCAGTCGAGGGTGTAAACGGAACCGTGAACTAGAAGCTTTCTCTTATTTTATTTATTTTTATTTTAATTTTATTTGTTTAGATCTTATTTATTTTAGTTAGTTTATCTATTAAATCACAATCCCCTTTTTTTTTATTGTTTTTATAATTTCAATTAATACAAGAAAATTCACAATTTAATTCACACTCCTTGTGGGATCGACCCTTGCTCGCCACTACTACTAGTTAGTAGAGGTTAGTTGAGGAAAAATATAAATTATAATTTTGCCGCGTTGCGACGCGCGGTCACGCCACTTCTGGCGCAATACTGTAGCTAACGCTACAATTTTTTTTTGTTTAATGTGTTTTAATATAATATTATTGATAATTTTTGTGTAATTTGTATTGGCATATGTTATATATATATATATATATATATATATATTATTGGTAATTGTTTCTATAATATGTAATAAATGTATTTATTATGTTAAATAACTTTGTGCTTTNNTATTGGTAATTGTTTCTATAATATGTAATAAATGTATTTATTATGTTAAATAACTTTGTGCTTTTTATTTATTGATGTGTAATAAATTTAATTTTGCATTTTTTTACTATTAAAATTAATGTATATTAATTTTATTTTGTAATTTTTTAATATTAAAATACCACAAAAAATGAATATAAGATGAAATATACATATATTAGAATTTATTTAAAATAAAACTGAATAAAAAAGATAATAAATTTGATGTAGAGTAAAATATAGAGATAAGGGTTGGAGATGAATGTTTCACTCTACTCTAGAGTAGAGATAAGTGCTAGAGATGACCTTAATGTCTACAATGTAGAGAATAATGTAGTTCATCCAAATTTTCATTCACATTCTAGCCAACCAATGGAGAGAAGAGAGATAAATACTATTACCATTTTCAAAATATTTAATTATTTAATTTCTTTTCTTTCATATTTATAATTTTTTTTTTATTTTGGCCAAGTGAACAATATTGTGTTTGATTATATTGTGCATTGGAGATAATTTTTTAGAATTAAAGTTGTTAACCTAACAATTATCTTATGTGGTTCACAATCCATCTAATTAATTGACATTTGTCAAAATTTATGTAATAACAACATTTATGCATTGGAGATGCTATTATATATATGATCATGATCAATGCATTGCAATGTTTTGCACACAGTATAATAATTGATAGAATAAAGGATTTATTGATCTCAACCTGCCATTGTTAAGATTAAGCAATTATTAATTTATTATTTGAATGATTATTCGTTTTCAAATATAAAAACAATCAGTACGACCTCGATTTTGTCTGAATGTTTAAAATCATGATCAGATTAACATAATAACAAGATATTAGAAGAAAATGAAAATAGAAAGAAACCTAACCATGCCGTATTTGAACTAACAAAATTATAAACGATCTATAAAAAATGCACTGTTATTAAAAAAGTATAACGAGTCTAACTATGGGACCGGCTCAGTCAAAAAATATATGTTTCGTAGAAGGTTAGATATGAATATTTGAATTTCTCCTTTTATTTGAGTTCTTTTAATTAAATTGTGAAGAAATAATAATAAAAAAAAAAAGAACCAGAACATTATATCATCACTTACGTAATACGAGTAGTTGTTACAATTTAAAAATATTAATTTTGTAAACAATTTTGCATTATAAAATAATGTCCTTCCAACAACTAAACACACCCGCCAAACAACAATCCTCAAAAGTCCAAAATTTCTCCGAAACAGCCCAAAATACTTCAGCTGACCCGAAAATGGAGGTGGATGACTGCATATTATCGGACCAGGTGCGTGTCGACGGCGACACCACAAGGGCGACGTTCTCTGCCGGCGGTCTATTGCGGTGGGGCGAGCGGCGGCTGCAACTCGAGAAAGAGGTCCTCGGCTTCTCCGTTGAGGGTTCGAACCTCAAAATCAGAGCTGCTGTGGAGGCTCCCGCCGGAATTTGCTGCTCCAGCGGAAAATCCAGTCTGGTTAGGACGTCCTTCTCCCTCGAGCTATTGTCGAATGATTCTCTTCGCATATGGAGTCAGAAACTGCAGGAGTACTTAGATTCTCTCGGTAAAGTTTTTATTTTTATTTTCAGTTGCAGTTGCGTGGGCCTTCAACAAAATCTCTTTGTTGTTTTACTTTTTGATATATTTGTGGTTAATTGTTCAGGTAGGCCAAAGAGGCTATTCATATTTGTGAACCCTTTTGGAGGTAATAGGTTGGCGTTGAAGATTTTCGAGAATGATGTGAAGCCTTTACTTGACGACGCCAATGTCGAGTACGCTGTACAAGGTAGTAAAAACAAAATAGGATGACCTTTTTTTTTCACTCTTTTATTGTAGTTGGAAAGTAGACATTTGAGCTCCTTGATGTATATATGAGTATAAATTGTCATTTCCAGAAACAAAATACCGACTTCACGCTAAGGAAGTTGTTCAATCTCTGGATCTTGCAAAGTATGATGGAATTGTGTGCGTCAGTGGAGATGGGATTCTGGTTGAGGTAGGAGGGTCAATCATAAACAGATTCTTATTGAATTTTTTCGCGGCAAGGTTTCAAACATTTTGGTGGTAGCTTATTTTCTTTTTTTTTTTTTCAGAAAATTAATGATTTTCTACCTATGAACGTACAATCATAAAAAGAATGACATACATGGCTTCTGGACCTTCCTTTTGGCAGAAGTGAAATGCGTTAGTAATGTCCGAAAGATATGGAAGTTATTGAACTAATCAGTACCATTCAATATTATGCGGATATTAATAGGTATTAAATGGATTGCTTGTGCGGGAGGATTGGGGCAAGGCAATAAGGATGCCTCTTGGAATAGTACCTGGAGGTTCGAATCGCATTTTTAGTTATTTTCTATGAATTTTTCAACTAGTTTTGTCTACTCAATATTGCATAGAAAATTCACCACGTATAACGTCTTAAAGACAGGCGCGTATACCTGTTCCCCATGTACTTATGACAATTTTCTTACATTAGGAACTGGAAATGCCATGGTGAAGTCATTTTTAGATGCATGTGGTGAGCCTTGTGCTGCATCTAATGCTATTGTTTCTATTATCCGAGGTACGTTTAAGTTCCCTTTTTTTATTTTTTTTCCCTTCTTGCTAGTTTCGTTAAAATACTTTATTTTTATAACGGAAATTCTCCTTTGTTCGCATATGACAGGGCATAAGCGCGCATTGGATGTAGCTACTATTTCACAAGGAGCCACCAAGTTTTTCAGCTTGTTAATGCTGGCATGGGGTATATGATTTACTGGTTTATTCAAGCATCCAACTATTATTTCAGTTTACATGTTCTTTATCCTAAGTCGTGATAAATACTGGAACTAATAAATCATCTGAGTTATTACTTACGTAAGTACTCTGCTTTAGTTAGTTACTATGATGTTGTATGCTTATTGTTGAGGTTGCATTTGCAGGTCTTGTGGCAGATATTGATATTGAGTCTGAGAAATATAGGTGGATGGGGCGTGCTCGGATAGAATACTATGTGAGTTTCACAGTTTACTTCCAAGTTCCAACTACTTTCAAGTTTTGGATGTAACTGACGTTAGAATTTAGTTGGACCTTAGAGTCATAAGATGTGACTGTTAGTAATAGTGGTGTATGGTACTTTTATCTTAATTAGTCTTAATGTGTTGATATACTTGAGCCAATCTATAGTTTCGTTGTCCTTTTCATCTTTAAATTATTTAACTAATAACCTAATTAGCTTGCAGCTGTGCTATTATTCTTTTTCGTACACAAACCTTTCTCTGTATTTTCCACCCACTCTGCTCCTTAGCATTTAGTCGTTGTATCTTTTATCTGAAGAGACCCAAGATCAACAAAAATCTATATTTGAGAGGACAAGAACTTCTTAGTAAGTTTTACCTAATGCAATGTGTTATAAGAACACCTTACTAAGTTACGGTTAAGTTATATGCCATACCATATATAAATGTCTTACCTTAGTTTTGTTATTTGAGATGAACCCAACTGATTAGTGCTATATTCTTCTTTGTCTGATGCTTTGAATATTCTCTTTGGGCGTTCCTAAACGGTATTGTGTTCCATTTGTGTGTTAGTAAAATTTCTTTGTTCCCCAACAGCAAGCATCTCTTGGTATTATTTTCAGGCCCGTGAGCGAATATTCGACCCTAGGAAGTACAATGGCAGCGTATTATTTGTCCCGGCACCTGGATTTGAATCTTTTGGAGAACCACTGGATCTCGAGAAGCAAATAATTATAGATGGGGAAAGTGACATTAAAACCGAATATGGTTATCAAGGTCCTAAATTCGATATAAAGAGGTTAAACTGGCGGAAAATTGATGGGCCTTTTGTTTCAGTATGGCTTCAAAATGTGCCTTGGGCTAGTGAAGATGCTATAGCAGCACCTGAAGCTCAGGTTTGTCGGTTATGTTTTCTTGTTTCGATCCTTGTGTCGTAAGGCATTTTTTTTTTTTTTTCTNTTTTTTTTTTTTTTCTAGTAATGGGTAGAAAATTAACATTTTTCTTTTACTGGTCTGCAGTTTTCGGATGGTTATCTAGACTTGATGTTGATTAAGGAGTGTCCCAACTCATCCTTGCTTACGTTGATGACTGAGCCGAACAGAGAACACGTCAAACTCCCGTTTTGTTCTTACCTGAAGGTGCATCATTGATTATGGTGAACCCTAAGAAATCTGAAAAGAGTGAAAAAAAAACAAAAAAAATTTGTGTTACATTAGAAAGTTGTGATATGGAAATTTCTCTGTCCTCTATAACTGATATAGTTTTTCACAGATTTTTATTATTCTTATAAAGTATGAAACTACTAAGTAATATTGATGAATGTGTTAAGTTTGGGATTGGCTCTCTGCATTTGCCTATTAAGTATAAATTGTTTGAGTTATGATTGCTGTTTAAGCAAGTGCAGGTTAAGGCGTTTGTTTTGCAGCCGGGCCCACAAACCGACGACCCGAACAAGGAGGGAATCATAGATGTCGATGGCGAGGTTATTGCAAAAGGTAAAGGGACATACAAATGTGACGAGACAACGCTAATGAGTTACGACAAATTACTCGTTAAAGTGGATCAGGCTTTGGCTACAATGTTTTCTCCAAAGTAACAAGAGTGTTGGTTTTGCATCTAAGTTATTGGTGATCTGCTATGTTTTATTGGACATGCAACAGTTATGCGGTCCATTTGTATAACTTTTCGCACTTTTTGGAAGTAAAAAAGTTAAAGTGCGAAGATATTGTGCCATGAACAATAGTTATGTGTGGATATGCGATAATTACGTGGTTCATTCGCATAATCATATGCACTTTGATGAAAAAGTTAAATTGTTAGCTAGTGGTGTACGAAAATTTAATAAATCTATAGTTGGGTAAAAAAATGCGCGCTTGTCCACGTGGTTTCTTTGTTATGATTTGGACTGGAGATTTATCCCCGCCCAGTATGGCTGTTCATTTATTATGTGTTTAGTTGATAATTTGATTCCAACATTTGTATGACATTGCCACCTTGGATAACTTGAACCTTATGTACAATCTTTATTAGTTTTTTTTAAGGGACGTGATAAAAAAAAAAGACAAATAAAAAAAGAATTGAAAATGCATCTAGGAAAGATTGACTGATTGAGGTCCGTGTTCAGCTTCAGTCATGTACCCCTAACCATCTTTTCAAAGAAAAAACTAAAATAGGATATTTAGGGAGTGAGTGGATAATTATTATTATTATTATTTTTTTTTTGAATTTTATTGAATTTATTAGATAACTAGAGTTAAGTTAAAAAAAATTAAGATGGAGCTAAGTTCGAATGAGATTTGATTTTGTATTAAAATAATATTTTAAAAAATATAATAATTAAATTTTATTTGAAGTAAAAGTAAGAGAGATGTGATTGGAAGTGTTGAATAGTCAAAATTATGGTAGTGAATGAATAGTTAATTAAAATTGATGTGATGTATGAAAATAATTGATTGATATTATTTAATTATATAATTATTATAAAAAATAATAAATTGAACTAAATTTAAGTTAAATTTTGAATTAAAATATTATCTAGTCAACTAAATATATATATAACAAATTAGCCATCATACCCTTCGCAAAAGCCCACCCACACTCCTCAAATTTGAGGATTCAAGAGAGAATTTTGTGTGCAAAACCGGTCACCTCGCAACAAACAACCTACAAAATTAACCAACAAGAGAATTATGAACAGTTTTTTGGATGACTATATTACATGAGCTTTAATTGTTTATGGATTTTAAAGATTGTTCTTTTTTCTGGTCGATTAGTGTCAACGTCAATGCATGTAAATGTGATGTTGATACGATGGAATCAATAACTTTTGCGTCTCTTTCGAATAATATACGTTTTCCTTTTGGTGTAGTTGTGAGGTACAACTAAAAAATTTGATTACATAAATGACATTAAAGTTGAGATTTTTTAGAATGATTGTACCACCAGTTCCAAGGCGGCACTGCGTGTTGTACGTTGATGATGATGTGTGCCACAATAATTAAGACAATATTTATAAGTATTTGTTTTCATGAATAATTAAAACAATATTTATAAGTTTTTGTTTTCATTTTGCAGTCAAATGGTACATGTAAAATTTGTGAAGTTTATGAGTTGAGTAGCCATATATCATATGCACTCGGTAAAGACTTTTAGATTTCGGAGTAACGAATGTGTTTTGATCTAACAATTCAAATTTCGGAATGACAATGTCCACTACAATATGTATGAATTTGCATTTAATTATATTGGAAACACATGTAAATGTTGATTTACTGCAATTTCAATACATTTAGGGATGAATAGAGCATGTTTTTTATACACATCTTTACCTTTCTAACAGAAAAGGCAGAAGTACTTTTATTAGTGGATCTCATCATTAAACTAAATCTTTATGTAAATTTATTAAAAAATAATGTAAATAAAAATACAAAATTAAAATTTGATAAATCTGATTAAAAAATATGAAGGACATATATAACTTGACTTGAAAAAGAAGGGAAAATAACAAATTAGGGAAAAGACCCTTACACAAATACATTTAGGGATAGACAAAATTTAGAGAAACCGATAAATCGGACCGAACTGTACAATTCGGTACGGTTCATATTTTTTTTTTCTTTTTTAATGTAAAATTTTTCGATTTGATGCAATTTTATATCGAATAGCACCAAACTAAATATAAAGGTAATAAAAAAATTGAGATAAAACAAAAAATCCGAGTTGAATCATGCATTTCGAGGAAGTTCAGTTCGGTTATTTTAGTGTAAAATTTTTTGTCAATTTTTTTCTATTTTACAGTGAGGCTCTTTTATTATTTATTTATTTTTGTTAAATTTGATTCTTCATTATTTTTTGATTCGGTGCGATTTTACACCAAATCCTACATTCGCTCTCTCCTGAATAGTAAACACATCATACCATCTTTTGAACCCATGGCATTAAACCTCCCCATCATGGCCCCACCAACATAGCGAGTATTTAATTTTTATACTTACTAAATGACTAGTCAGCATCTCCAATAATCCATGAATTGCTATATTTTATTGTCTTATGCCCCAATAAATCCTATGTGTCATTGACATTTTTAGAAGTCTTTTTTCAAGTATAGAAGGGTAAAAATGCTTTTAGACATCTTCTATTGTACATTATACTATTATTTATTTAATTTATCTATCATATACAATCAATTATTATAGTCTTACCTATATCAAATTATACTAACATAAATTTTCTTAATTTCATTTATCCATGTACAACTCCAATGGAGGATGAACATTTGAAGATGTTTGAGAATGAGGTTCAAATTCAAGTTGTGTTCTTAAAAAATCGACACGTACACATGTGTGTACGTTCATTTACTTT